GATGTTATCATCGATGTTTTTTAGTCTACAAAATATATAAAGGGAGAGTTACTAGATTAACCCAAATTTTGAGTTTAATTACTAGATTGACTCACAAATAATTTGGGTTAAATGAGTTATTTTCATATCTAAAATACCCTTGTCTCATGTGTTAAAAAAAAAAAAAAATACCAAAATACCCTTCATAAAAAATTCCAGCAATTTTAGAAAAATCTGTTATCTACTTGACAGATTTCTTAGATTATGGTTACGACAGACTTACAAAATTTTAACAGATTTGTTTTCCTTGACAGATTTTTTTCCATTCAATCACAGACTTGAACAATTTGTGACAGACTTGAACAATTTGTGACAGACTTATTGTAATGTCTGGCTGATTTAATTTGTAAGTAGCGGCAGATTTATTATTTTCGGAAAAAAACTGTCATGTTGTGACAGATTCGCTGACTAAAAATTAATTACTAGATTGACCTCTAATGGTAGCAGATTTGTTCTATGTTATGACAGATTTTTATAATGTTACCATAAATCTGTCGTGTTACAACAGATTTGTTTTCAAAATATAATCTTTTGTGTTATGACAGACTTGTTTTATGTTATGACAGATTAAATTATATTACCACAAATCTGTCGTTTGATGGCAGATTTGTTAAATTAATGAAAGAATTGCTAGAATGATCTTATAATGTTTGTATGTTGCGACAGATTTGTAATTATGAAACCCTTTCATGACAGGTTTTTTTTAATTTCTGGCAGATTTTTTTCCTATAATAATATTTATAGTGGTGATAGGTTTTTCCTTCCGAGTTGACTGCCAATCAAGAAGTGGAATACCAGTCAAGATAGGCCTTCTCAACCCATAACCCTCTCCTAATCCAGGGAAACTCTCATACACCCACATAAGCAAAGCGTGAACGCATCCTTTAATAACATAACCATCTTTGTTAAAGTCAACTGTCTTAACCGATTTAAGTAGACATTCAAAAGCCACTCGTCCCCACGGATATTTCTCAAAACTCACTGGATCAAGAACTCTTATAGCACTAGACAAAGGAAATCTAGATCCGTGGTGCACTCCATGTATTGCCACTGATAATAAACACAACCTACCCACCATCATCCTCTCCTTTAAGTCCCATGCCTTGCTAAGATCCATCACAGTTCGCAACTCATTGAACTTTGGACCTTCTGAGTTGGTACTTTCATTGCCTCCCATAGCTCACGGTGATCAGCTTCAAACTTTTCCGACGGGTCAAATGGATCGCAATTCAGTCCTGTTATAGCAGCAAACTCATTTAAGGAGAACCGGACTGGTCTACCATCAATCATAGACCATATCTCATGAAAGTTATCCACTTTCAACTGATTTGTGAGGAATAGATGTACTTTCTTGGCAGCCCATGTGTACTCTAGTTCAGCTAGCTTGATAAACACACCTAGTGATGATTTCTCCAATCCATCCCACACATCAATACCTAATCCTTCTCTGATTTGACCAATCTTGGACAGATAACAATTGTGGTTCATGCTTCTATGTTGCAAAGGTGATTTTCCTTCTGCATATAGACGAGGAGGATATTTGAAGACATTACTCGAAGACGCCATTCCTGAAGATTATCAAAATAATAAATCAGCATATAAGAGGATTATTACAATCACATAACAGAAATACTAAAACTAGGAGGAAACAAGTATACAATCGTCAAAAATTGAGATATAAGTTTCAATAATCATATGTGACTTAAAGTGTATGAAATTAATTCATACTGAGTTCTTGTAATTTGCTCCCTAGTAGCACCGAAATGACAGTTGAGTCTTGTTTTATGAAAATTTATGCAATGCAGCAAAAGAACAATGAGAAATTAACAAAAGTAGCTATTCATCTGTAAAAAAAGGTGAATCACTTATATAAACTTCACATTACCAGAAGGTACAGCAAATAATGCAAGGGCTGTTGAACCCACAAGAGAGATGCCACGAAGAAATAAGAAACAGAAACATTAAACTAACCAATTGCAATTGCAGTTCAATCAAAATATGAAAAAGTTAGGGTCCAATTCAATTCAATTCAATCAAAAACTTTTTTTTTGAGGAAGAGAAGTCTAAAAGGACCAAGTTATATTAGACAACACATTCTTGTGTGCCAGGAACTCAAATTTGCTCATAATTCTTGTGTGCTAGTTATATCTAATAAACACATTCCAAGTTACACAACTTCAATTGTTACTTAAAAGTCATTTGAATGTCAACAACCCTGAAGTTACTTAATCTCATATATAATCAAAGGAAATGGTGAAAACACTTCAACTAAGAACTGAACAAGTAACAAACAAAAACTTCAGAACATACAAATCACAGAGACACAAGCGGCGATGGCAAATGAAGATTAGGGTTTAGGGGAAACGCCGGAGACTTCGGGAAGACCTGGAAGTAGCCGAAGACGCCGGAGAACCAGAGAAATTGGCGGCGGATTCCCCAGAGAAAGAGCACCGTCGTTCGTCTATAGCCGCTCTTCTCTAATCTTCGGAGTTTGCGGCTGTTTTCTTCGAATCAGCGGTGGAACTCAATTTGCAGCGGATTCAAGCCTTCGACAAAGCTCCGATTTCAATTCAAGTCTTCGTCGGAGTGAGTAGCGTTTGCAAAGGCTGAGAAAAAAAAAAGAAAGAGAAAATCGTAAATACATATTAGGGTTAGGGAAATGTTTTTCTGTTTTTTTTTTTTGTGTTTTGTAATTAAAATTGAAATGTTTTATCTGATTGTTTGAATTTTTTTTTCTTGAGACTATTACAATGAAATTGGGTTTTTGGTCATTTAACACAAAATTTGTGTTAGTCTAGTAAACTGAAAAATCAGAGTTTTAATCTAGTTATTAATCTCCAGATTTGAGTCAATCTGGGTAATTTTCAGATATATAAATTAGTAGAGATCCTTGCGAGTTCCAAATAGCGTTTTTTTTTTGGTAGGGCGAATTTGCATTGATATGAAAGTCCAATGGGCATTACAAATGATGAAAAAGAAAAGTCCAATCTCCATCATTTACAACCTTGATTAGAATTAAAACTGCTTAATCAAACCTACTAAGATAAGACTAGAAAATAAGGTGTCACGTGTAACCCGTGTTCAAAAAATCGCTAGGCGCTAGTCGGGCGGTGAGGGTGCGCCTAGCGCCTACCAAGAAAATCGGGGATTACACGGGGATTAATCGGGGATTAGTTTTAGGGCTATTTAATATTTTAAAAACATATTAATCTATTATAATTAAGAAATTTATATAAAATTGTTTTTAAAATTGTATTAAACACATGAAAACAAGATTTTAATTTCAAATTTATGATTTTTATACAAATTACGAACATAAGTAGGACGTTTTGAATTTTAGATGAAAAAAAAAAAAGTAAAAAAAAAAAAAAAAAAAAAATTGGGCTAGGCACCGTCTAGGCGGGCTAGGCGGCCGCCTAGGCGGTCCAGGCGGACAAAAAATCGGATCTCCGATTTTTCTCACCGATTTGGACAAAATCGCCGCGGTGCTCCTCCGATCAGCGCCTAGGCGGCTAGGCGGTCGATTTTTAGAACAAGGCGTGTAACACATGTTAACACGCGAGAAGGAAAGAGAGACGCAGTCGATGCCGACCAAATTTTACAATCTGGTGCAGTTTCGCCGCCGAGCTTCAAGAATCCACCACCGAACTCCTTTTACAAATTTCGCCGTTGCAAATCCGGTTGACATCCACCGCTTCCGTCTTCAAGAACCACAAGAAGATATCTTCAAATCTTCATCATCTTAACTCTAATTCCCTAGCAGAAGCTCCGCCTAAGATCTAGTTGAAGTCCTCTTTATAATAGTCAGCGAAGATATTACTCCGACATAAGATTGGAGTCAAGCCAACGGTGGGACATGGAAAATCAATCGATGGCAAACGGAAATCCGATTGAGATTCTGTAGAAAGAGAGTCAAAAAACAGATCCGATCTAGCTAAACTAAGACTGACATTATTAGAACCAGACGAGCCGGAGAAAAGAACCAATAAAACGGAAAGAGAAATCCGATCGAAGTCGGAAACTGTATTTATAATTGAAAAAAAACGGCAATGCCAAATAAATTCCGGTTTACTGAAATCGTTTTCCCTGTCTGAAAAATAGAGGTGATATAAGAGAGTAGGCCTGGGCACAAGTACTCGTTACTCGGTTGATACTCGCTACTCGGCTCGTACTCGCCTTGAAAAAATAAGTACCCGGTGTTGTCAAGGCAAGTACCAAGTAGTATAATTCCATTACTTGCAAGTAAAGGTCAAGTATCAAGTATCATAATTTTTTTTGATACTTGGCTCGTTACTCGCCCCGTTTCGATACTCGTCCCGTTACTCGCTCCGTTACTCGCCTCGTTACTCGCTCCGCTACTCGTCCCGTTTTGTATTACAAGATACTTCATGATTTTCAAGTTTTGTTTTAAAGCGTAATACACTAATAGTAACATTTGTTATGTTGGTTTTATTTATATGGAAAAAAAAAGAGAATCAAGAAGACAAGAACGCAAGAAGGAAGATAGAGACAAGATTTCAATTTGAACCAAGTTGTTTTAAAATGCTTATCTTTTGGAACTTTCAATGTGTTGTGATTCTAGGATGTTTTGCGATTTTACGATGTTTAAAATTCTGAATGTTTTATAATACGAATGAGATTGGTTTTTTATTTAAATTAAATGTTCAAGACTTCACGATTTAAGTAACAAGTACTTGCAAGTAACAAGCCAAGTCAAGTTACCTTGCAAGTAACAAGCCGGGTCAAGTTACTTGCAAGTAACAAAATTTTGGACGAGTACTTGTTCTAGCAAGTACTTGCTCAAACGAGTCGAGTATCAAGCCGAACTTTCAATTACTTGTACGGGCCAAGGCGAGTCACAAGTACTTGAAAAATAGCAAGTACTTACCTTGTGTCCATGCCTATAAGAGAGAGAAGCCTGGAGTTTCAACTTTCAAAAGTCCTATCTTCCCAAATACTAGCGATTAAGGCTCACCAAAGACCAATCAGAAAATTTAATTTTTTTTTTTGGTTTAATTCTTTAAATATTTAGACCAAAATCACCAACGGTGACAGCATTATTGACTGGTTGTTCAGAGAGACTTCACAAATCCTTTGATTGATTGATTGATTGATTTGACAGTGAAGATTTCTATTCTTACGCTTGCTCTTCACATCTCCCAAATCTCCAGATTGGAGCAACGAATATGATTCAACCCTAATTTCAAGCAAAAGCCCCTCTTTTTACAAGTCTCGGAGATTACATACAGTCTTCACTCCAACAAACAAAAGAAGAAGCCCAAACCAAAATGGCTAACGATCGACGCGCTTCTTCTGTCAATCCGACGACGGAGCAAGACAATGCTATGTAAGCTCATTGATTTACAATTCTAGAGAAACGTTTACGACTTTTTGCTTCGTGATTTCGATCATTTGGTTTTTGAGCTCTGGATTTTTTTGAGTTTCTTCTTTCAAAGTATTTTGGTTTTCTTCCGTTTTTTCCTTTTCTTCAGAGTATTTTGCAGATTGGTCACTTCTCCTGTGTTTTTATTCTCATGTCTTTTTCTGACAATGACTCTTCTGATGCTACTGTAACCATTCGAAAATATTCTTCTATATCCTCTATTGGCTCCTCATCTAGTGTTTTGTGATTGTAGGTTTCTTGATATACTGCATGAAGCTCCTCTATTCGGTCATCGAGAATCGAGAAGTCTCGTTGGAAGCTGCATTTATCTTATCATATTGGCATGTGAATCCAAACTCTACTTCAACACAGAGTTCTGTAACATCCCCTTTTAATAAGGATAATAAGAAACATGTATGCCTGACTTTCTATTTACTATTTGCTCAATTTAGGCAGGTTATGCTATTTTAGCAGCAGGGGCACCATGGATACTTCAGTCTGTAGAGTATCTTATCCCATCGCTGCTTTGCAGCTGCAATGTTGCTCTCTTGATGTTAACAGGTAACCACAATACTCCCCTATAATCTTTGTTTACTACTGCCTAGTAAATTTGTAGTTAGAACAACATTTTATTGCTTTAATGTTACCTATACAAAGCATTAAAATCTATTTTCTTGTATCATATGTCTATTTCTGCTTTCATGTCACATTTCAGCTTTAAAATATTCTGCCGGATATGTATAAATTATCATAAGTACTTTCTGCAACAGGTATGTTTCAGCAATATTTTGTCAATCAGGTCCAGAAAATACGCTTGCAGGTAACATTTGTTCTAACAAGGCGGATCAAGCTCATTTTATTTCTTTTGTAAACCATATAGGAATAATAGGTTGATATTCTCTAGTGTATTTGTAGTCATTTCATCTTGTATTGCAGGGTTATTACAGTTTCAGTCAGAAATTGAAACATGTAGTTCGTCTGCCATTTGCAATCATGGCCTATGGTAATCTTTAATGCTACTTTTCCAATCATATATTGTTACATATATCTATTTCTTGTGCTCAATAAAGTGACTCCGTTTTTTTCTAGGGACTGCATCTATGCTACTTTTCATGGTGTGGAGACCATATGTCAGTGTTCTTCCCATTTTTACTGTGCAAAGGTCTGCAGCCTTCTGTTTATACATTAACTGCTTTTACATTCTTATGAGTTTTCTTTTCCAGATGATCACATTTTCTGTTTTCTTTCTTTTGTCGTTGATAATAAAGAATAGTACGAAGATTCTGACTCAATCCTTTGACTTGTCTTGCTAAGAAAATTATTGCACATCACATGGTAAAACGTCTAAGTTAATGAGAAACTGTTTTCATTCACTCAGGTTGACAGATTTGACTTAACTTATTTACCAATATCTTAGCTAAATTTGAATGCCTACGAAGAGTTTAAGATTGATGCCATTGACTAGAAATAGTATTTGGAACCGGATAATGTCTTGCGTATTCTTGTTTTGGAACAATTTGGTGAAGTAAGTTTAGTTTTGGCATGGTCGAAAAAGCTTACGAGTATATTATTGTTGCAGGTTCATCATGTCTGTTGAAGCAATTTCTGCGGCTTCTTTTATGATTGTATTTGTTGGTAAGCATAAGGTCCAGATATTTGTTGGCATGCATTCAGCCTCATTTTAGTATCTCAACTAGAGCAGTATAATGCCTAATAGATTCACTTTCCAGTTGCGAGATATATGTAATACACCAGGTTCAGTTGTTATGCCAAGTGTCAGATTTAGAATCAGTTTTCATTTCTTATTCACCTGACCCATAAGGATTAACTGAAATCATTCCATTGCATCTGGGCTCTATCGCGATCATTTGCATGCTAAATCACTATCAAATTGTTTACATCTACGGTCATACATTTGTGTTTATATTTATCATGTATGCAGTTCTTGCAATTGGCTATTGTTTGTGGATGAATATCAGGAGATCATTGAAGCATCTTTAATAATTGCTGTTCTGGGTTTCAGTTTGAAAACTCTTTGCTCTCAATGCAGAAATTTCCATACCGTGTATTCGGAAAAACGATTGGCTAGCGCATATTGCATTCTTTTGGCAGCTTTTCTTACAATATTTCTGCCAGTTATTTGTCTTTAGTTAGAGATTTGTGTAGCTAGGTTATTATGCAGCTCTTCTTATCAGTATTTTGATTCTGGTAGGTTACGTTCGCCAGTATAACTCAGTGAACTCTCAGCCCGATGTCTTAAATTCATTATATTCTCCTCTTCAACCAGCTACTTTGGAAGGATTGAGGTACTTTCACAATCTCACTGAAACCTTATTCCTAGTATTCATGAAAACTTTGCTTAACATGGCAACCTTGTATTGCACATGGCAATGCTTTTACAATTCTCAAGTCTTACTTCGTTTTGTTTGCTTGAAATACAGATACCATGAAGCCGGTCGCCTTTCTGATCAGCAAATGGCTCTACTGCAATATCAGCGTGAGAATCTCCATTATCTCAGTGAAGAGGTGACAATACATGGAACATTTATCATGAGTACTTCATTTCTGAATCTTGATGCCTGTGTTTTTTCTTATTAGTCTACAGTTTTGTACTAGTAATCCTAAGTTCAATGCTCTCTCTAGTTCTTCATCGTCTACCCCATGATTTCGCTAGAGTGAGTTTCTGACCTCTCTTATTCTTGTTTCAGATTCTGCGTTTGCAGGAGTCCTTAAGCAAATATGAAACCAATGGTAGTGGCACGCCTCAGGTTTGAACTGCTCCATTGCGAATTAATGACTTATTTTTAGCAGAGCTTTAAGGGTGGATACATGCTAACAACATTCTTGATAATTTTCTTAAAATCCATGTATTTCCTTCCATTGGGCTTTTAATTTTGCAATTGATAAATGTTAAACTTTCAGGTTGATTTGGCGCATCTTGTGGCCACTCGTGATCAGGAATTGCGAACACTTTCTGCTGAGGTAAAGCTCGGTTAACAAATAAACTTGCAAATTTCACAATATTAAGTTCTTTCTCATCTCTCTTTTACCCATTTGGCGGAAAACTTATCATAGTTGATTGACATTTCAAGGCTGATATCCTTTATGTAGCATCTTTGAACGAAGGAGTATAGTAAATGAAAATTGTGTGTTTGCAGGTGGATCAACTCCATTCAGAGCTTAATCTCGCTCGATCTCTGATCTCTGAGAGAGATAGAGAGATACAGCACGTCCGGAATACCAATAATCAGGTTTGAATCTATCCATAAACATAAGAACATATGAGAACAAAACATACTTTCCACCATCACATGATGTATATCAACACAGTTCTACCATGCAATCTTTTGCATCCAACAATCTGCAAGGGCTACAACATTTTTTCGGATCTGTGAAACTCATCATCTTTTGTTTTCGAAAATCGAAACTCTTGAAACAGTATGTTGCAGAAAATGAAAGGTTAAGAGCTATTCTTGGAGAATGGAGTATGCGCGCTGCAAAGGTAAAATCTTCTCTTGTCTCTTCATTGTATGTTTTAGAGATGCAATATGTTGGTGGAAAAAAAGTCTTAAGTCAGTTATTCTGATTCTATAGTTTCCTTCCTATATCGAGTTTATCGAATTCAATCCCCATTTGTTTAACATGAGGCTAACAAAATCAATGGATTGTGTATAGCTTGAACGAGCTCTGGAGGTGGAGAGAATATCAAATCTCGAACTGCGGAAGAAAGTTTCGGCTCTCAGAGACCAGAGGCAAGTGGCATGAAGCATAAACATTCACCTAACAATATATGTAACTCATATGGCTTGTAGAAAACTATCTTGACACTATTTTGTAACATCTTCATATATTTGATTAGAATGAAACTCTTTTTTATTTTATAAATGGAATAAGCTATTAAGCTTTTATGATGTAATGATTTTCCAATTAATTTGAACTCTTGCTATGTAATGAATTCATATGATTAATTTAGTCATATAATTATTGTAAATATTCTGGCGATACTTTAGCAAAAATTTATTTATTTTTACAAAATAGTATTTAATTTATCAATTAAAAATAAAAATTTGTGGGGATAATAAAAGGATATTTATCAATCTTAAGATTAAAAAAAAAAGAAGGAAAAGTTAAGCGAATTATGGAAATTTACGGGAATCTAATTCCCCCGAAAGCCCATTATATAGGCAAAAAAGCCCAAAGCTGCTTTATTTATTCTTCTACTCCCGTCTTGTGTCAATATCTCTCTCCACAACAAACCAAGCGAGGGCTCAAACTTTGAGATTTTTCTTCGGCTTTTCTAGGGTTTTAATTTTCCTTCCGATCAGAGATTAATGGCGAATCTGGACTCCGACGTTACCATGATTCCTGCCGGAGAAGCCTCCAGCAGCGTAGCCGCTTCGTCTTTCAACAAGAAAGCTAAGCGATTCGAGATTAAAAAGTGGAGCGCCGTTGCTCTCTGGGCTTGGGGTAACCGCGATAATCCTTATACTATCTTGAATATGTCTTTCGATGTTTTTCTTTCTTTCGATGTTTGTGTTACGATGTTAATTTTGGTTAGGTTAGGTTAGAGTTTTATTTGATTGATTGATCTTTGTTTTGGTTGCAGATATCGTTGTTGACAACTGTGCGATCTGCAGAAACCACATCATGGATCTGTGTAAGTCCAAGAGCAATCGATTGATTATGGAATTTGTTACGATGAGATTTACTGAATTTTCCGATTGTTTATGCTTATTTCGTTATTGTGTTTTGGTTTGTTGTTAGGCATTGAATGTCAAGCTAATCAGGCTAGTGCTACAAGTGAGGAATGCACTGTTGCTTGGGGTAAGCCTTGTTTCTTCTGGATCTTGATCACAATCTCTGCTTTTTGTTTTGAAACTTGATTTGGCTTACAATTGCAGCTATCGTAATTTTGTATCTAGAAACACAAAATTCTATGCAACTTAGTGTTGTGTGAAACAATTCTAGTATCTCCGAGTGCGTTTTTTAAATCCTGACATTGAATTTTGCTTATGTGGTAGTATCACTCTGATACATGTCTTTACTTTATTTGAGAAGAGACCCTATCTTTGTTTTGCAGCAATCTATATTGGTCAATGAGTAGTACAGTTGATTAGATTTATGGAGTTTTAAAGATTTTCTGAGAGAGAGAGAGACCAAATTTTAGTTATTGTGTTTGCATGCTTTTAAAGTCTTGCAGTAGTGGGTTGTATGATAGATGATGAATTAGAAAATCAAAGGATGACCAAAATCACTGTATTACGTATCTCTGTATTCTTGATCGCCCAATGAAGAATGACCAATTTGAGGGTGAATCTTGTTAGCTAGGAAGTGTTAGAAAAAGTAAGAAGTTTTCATTTAAGATGTATGTGATTGTGTGAGGCACCCATTTGAATCCTTATTCTATAATGTGACAACTCAAGTGGAAATACATACAATGGTTAGTGCCTTCCCTAACCACAGACACTCAATTCGTGTACTTGCAGGGGTTTGTAATCACGCCTTCCACTTTCACTGCATCAGCAGATGGCTAAAGACCCGTCAAGTTTGTCCATTGGGTATGTGTTTCTCGGTTTTATGCTTCTTGAATAGTTTGCAGGTTTTGTTTGTTTACTAATATTGCTGAGTTTCAACAGATAACAGCGAGTGGGAGTTTCAGAAATATGGTCACTAAATCAACAAATGGTTCCAGCAAACATGTGTCTAATCGTGAAGATATCAGGTTCATTTGGTTACCACCGCATATGATAACTAAAGATTGTTCAAGTTTTGCTTCTTTTTTTTTTTTTTTGTACTGTATTTCTCAAATTGTGGAAACAGAGATTTAGTGTTCACTGAACCTATTATCGTTGTGCTTTGGCCTTTGGGTGACGTCTTTGATTTTAAAAAAATTTAAAAAAAAAATTCAGGAAAGAAAGTTTTACTAGTAAAAATACAGGAGCTGCATAAAACACCAAAGCTCTTTTGATCCTCGATATGTTTTTCCTGCAATTTAGTAGTTCCAACTACCACACAGGCAAATACTAAACTGAAATTTCTTATAAGGCTAACTCGAAACCAACTTAAATTTAAAATGAAAAGTTTTATTAAATGGGTACGCTAGTATTGGCATTACCATTGGTCTTTCAATCCCTAAACAACCATTATTAGAGCATTTTTGTGACAACCCAAATTCTTAAGAAAGTAAAAACTGAACACTTAAGGATCAATAGAGCTTATACATTGGCGTCGGCTCGGTAGGATCGTATAACCCAAAATGCTGATAGATTCCAACTGGCTTCTGGTTCTCATTGTATGTCTCAAATATATACCCATCAATTCTACTATTTGGCCTCTTAGGCGTTCCTTTACCGCTTGCCACATGCTTCACAAAGTTACCAATGTACGTATATTGAAGAGCCGGCGTCGTCATACCTCCATTCCCGGCAGAGGGCCACCCAGTCTCTGACACCACCAAAGGTAAACCTTTCACTCCCTCTTTCTCCATTGCCCACAGAAAAGCGTCGAAAATTGCATCAAACAAGTTGGAATATTTTAGTGCACCGTCCTTGACCACGATCTGGTCGGTATTGAAATTAGTGTACTCGAGAGGGACGTTCTTTGGGTCGGACGCATAGAAGTAGTAAGGATAGATATTGACGAATATCGGTGTACTTGGGGTGTTAAAACTCCTGTGGAAGGTGGTTTCAACACAGCTAGGCTCGTGGTAGTGACCGTGGTGCTGATCGAGATCGGGAGATTTCTCGACCTGACGAGGTCGGTGAGAGATTGAATGACAGGAAGCACGTGGGGGCCATATATGTCGCCCGGGATCGCTTGGTTTCCGACGGTAATAAATGTTATGTTGACGTCGGCTATGTAAGGATCAATGTTAGTGGCGAACCAGGATTTAACTGTGTCTTTGTTGGCTGCAAGAGCCGCCAAGTCTTCGTTCTTGATGCCTACGGTGACTCCGATCTCTCGGTTTCCACGCAAGGCGTTTAGGACGTCCTTGTTTGGCTCGAATATCCTGATTTTCGCCACATTTTGAGATTTGTAGAACTTGATAACATTTGACGGAGATGGGAGGTTGTCTCCGAGGAGGCCGTAGTTCAATCCGACGACTGATGTTGTGCTTAAGGAATCAACTTTGTTGTAGCTGATAATCAACGCTACGCATGAGAGAAGTACTAGGAACAACTTCTTAGAATAGTCCATAATATAACTTGTGTCTGCAAATATCAATAGCGCCAGAAAAATTATTGTATTAGAATATTAGGTATATACAGACGTATCACATTCACATACAAGAAATGAAGAAATACCACATGATCATACTTGCCTGAAGAACCAATTAAACTTGTTTTCTTTTTGTTTTGTTTCGTGTAAGCTTGCAAGTTTGAGTTTATATATGTCTGAGATACTGTTCCCTGTTTAATGAGTGTAAGATAGACCTTATACATGTCTAAGATATGTTTCTTAATCTTATTATATTTTGTTTATCTCTTATATTATTGGTATCCCTAAAACATTTGTTTCTTTATCTGGTTTGCTTTGGTGCTTGTCAGATTTATTTACAAATTTGGCTTTGTCCTTGTAACAGTTTACATTCACATACACCACACACAGGATATGAATTGAACCCACAGGATAGGTAATACCACGACAAGACGACACCTTGCTAATGAATGTTGCTAACTCACTTAAGCAAAAACAAATTCAAATCCACTTTCGGTTGCTGATTCGAGAGTTTGTTGGTTTTCGAAAATTTTGCGGGTAGAGCAATTCGATCTCTGGAGTGTAAACAGGAATCCGAAGGCGATTGAAGGGTAGCTCTGGATCAAACTGTCTTCCGGGTATTTTTACTAGAAAAGAAAATCATACAACATTATAAGAAATAAGTGTTATTGTGGATCTTGATCATATCCCACTCTATTACAACTACTAGAGCATCATTTATTGATGATTTGGGATAGTCTACTATTCAAGAATCTAAAAATTAAAACAATTTGTAGATTGGTTTCATATCAGTAGGATAGTACAATCCAAAATTTTGTTCGGTTCCAGCTGGCTTTTGATTTTCATTGAACGTAGCAAATAAAAATCCATGAATGCTATTGTTTGGCCTCTTCGGTGTCCCTTTACCGCTTTCCACATGTTTGACAAAATTTCCGTTGTATATAGACGCGATATCTGGCGTTGTTAAGTTCCCGTTACCGGCAGACGGCCATCCGGTCTCTGTTACCACCATGGGTAAATCTTTCACGCCTTCTTTCTCCATTGCCCATACGAACGCATCAAATATTACATCGAACATGTTTGAATAACTTAGTGGCCCGTCTTGAACCACGACCGCGTCGGTGTTGAAGGTTGCGTAATCAAGATGAATGTTGACAGAATCAGCAGCATAAGCGAAGTAAGGGTAGATGTTGACGAGAATAGGTGTACTTGTTTGTGACAAAAACTTCAGCACTGGAGTTAGTTGTTCACGTGCTTGAGGCGTAAAATCTCCGGCCGAAGGTGGATACGATTGGCCAAGATTGGTCATAGCCACGGTGGTGCTGATCAGGATCGGGAGATTCCTCGACTTGATCAGGATCGGGAGATTCCTCGACTTGACAATGTTGGTGAGAGACTTCATGACGGGGAGCACATAAGAGCCGATTTTTCCAGGGATGATTTCATTCCCAACAGTAATGAACGTGATGTTGACATCAGCTAAGTAAGGCTCAATGTTGGTCACGATCCATGTGTTAACAGCTTCTTCGCTGACCGAAAGAGCCTCTAAGTCTTGGTTCTTAACGCCTACCATAAGTCCAATATCGCGGTTCCCTCGAAAGGCGTTAAGGACATCCGTATTCGTGTCGAAGATCCGAATATTGGTAATACTTAAAGACTTGTAGAGGTTGATAACTTCAGATGGAGGTGGAAGGTTGTCTCCGAGGAGGCCGTAGTTCAAGCCAATGTTTGTTGCTGCATCTACAAAGCCACCACTGTTGTAGTTTGACAAAAATGCCGTGCACAAGAGCATTAACAACAACGAATTTTTAGGATAATCCATAATAATGAACGTGTATTTGCAAAACGAAGATAGTATTTATCTGAATAACGGACACGAGGAACTTGTATCTTTTTATTTGTTTTGGTTGTAGGTACATGCAATATATATACATAGTTGAGATATGTTTTCTATTTTACTAGTATCACTAAAATAGTAAAAATTTTGGTTTTTGTCGTGGTTTAGCTATCCACCAAGCCTATTTTATAAATTTGCTAATCTTCATTTTTATTTCATTCTTTTTTTGTCTAACGTAACAAACTTCTTCACAAATAAACTAAAATACATCTAGAACTATGCTCGGAATTCTAGATCAAACTTAGAAACTATCACGATTTACACCACTTATTTTTTAAATATAATCTTTTGCTAATTTCAAATTTTGTTCTAGAAAGTGATTTCTTAAGTAATACTGTATTTCCAAATATTAACTATACATTAGAATAGAAGACAGGAACAAAAACAAAATCTTCTTATGGAAAACAATAAAAAATTGATTACAAAATATGGATACCCGCACAGGTTAATGCAGATCCCGGCAGGGCTTGCCTGCATGCTTACTTGCATTGCATGTATGATGTACTGATACTTACATGCTTTCTACGAGCTCAAGCTTTTGGTGGGTGTACTTTTAGCGAGTTGGTATGACTAATGAGCCAATTCTTTTACCATATTAACATTTCTAAATGTGTCTACATGATTTATGCTTGCATGGCATGATTCTAATCATTTACCGAAGATAATATTATTCTGATCCAAATAATATTATGTGTACTACACAAACCAAAAAGAACAAACAATGGATTACTATGAATAAAATATAATCTTTTAAAAAAAAATATGCAAGTTCCAATTGATGAATGTTATTATGATCCTTTATACTAGGCCTGGGCAAAATATTCGTTAGATCCGCTTCGACTCGGTATTAGTTTTGATTCGATTCGAAAAATCCGAATATCCGTAATATTTTGGAGCAAATCAAATAGAAAAATGTAGTATTCGTAAAAACCGAAGCAAATAACAAATATTATTTTTTTAAAAGTCGGATATCCGCTTCGATCCGTATTTTTCGATATTTATTAGAAATATATACATATATATATATATATATGTGTATATCGTAATATGTTTTTGGCTTGTATTTGTAAACTCAGTTTTTTATCCTTCGGACCTGTATTTGTGACACAATTTAATAGTTTTTATTAGTGAAGTGGAATTTTTAAAAAAAAAATCAATATCCCTTAAAAATAAGAAGTTGGAATCCTGTGACGACTACTTTTTCCCAAATTTTATATTTTTCTTCGTAGTTTTACATGCGAGCGCTTAACTTTTTAGGGTTTTAATAAGTGCAGAAGTATCGAAGCGGATATCCGCAAATATCACAAAAAATCCGGATATTCGATATTCCGAATATCCGGAAATTTTCGGATCAAAGCAAATCACAAAATCAAGTATTCGGTTAAATCGAATCGAATAACAAATATCCCAAATTTTCCGAATATCCGCTTCGTGCCCAGGCCTACTTTATACAATCTTTCTCTTCTAATAGTGAAAGTTGATTCTAAAACACCGTAGTTGATTGTTAAGCTTAATGGAAGTTATCAGTTTGATCAAGAAAAAACACACCATAGTTTGTGTATGTCAAAGAACGAGATATATAAATACTAAAAAAAAAAAAAAAAAAAAAAAAAAAAAAAAAAAAAAAGAGATATATAAATACTATATATTGTTTTAAGAAAAAAAATAAAAAATATATAATTTCTTTTTTTTTTGAATGAATGTAAAATTTATTCACCAAAAAAATCAGTGTTACATCAAGTGCATCCTTTTTGAGGTTTTTTGACATTGAGTTTACAATTTAAAACTTAGTGGAAAGCCAAAATGTGAAAAGGTCTTCATACTTTGCGTTTCCGGTTTTTCGAAGAAGAGTGATCCGGTTGCGAATGTTCTTGTCGATGGTTTTCCCAAGGATCGATGCTGTGATAGGGTCTTCTCCATGCCGTCGATTGTTCCTCTCTCCATAAGGTGTGGACTGCGATTTGAAAGGCATATCGCAGAAGCAAACGTGCCTTCTGTTTGAGCGTGTTACTTGAAATGAGCAACATGAGTTGATCCCACTCCAATGTGTATCTGTTTTGAAGTAATCCCTTTGCTAATGTCTCCCAAATCTGTCTTGAATAGCTGCACCGGAAGAAAAGATAGTTTCTTGTTTCTACCGGTTCATCGCAGAGTTTACACGAGACGTCTACTTGTGCATTCCACTTCCCCATACGAACCCCCGTAGTTAATCTGTCATGCATTGCAAGCCACGTGATGAAGGCATATTTTGGTGTAGCTTCGGAGAACCAAACACCCTTAGCCCAACTGCAGATAGGTTGCTCTACTCTCAAGAGTTTCCAAGTCTCATTTGAAGAGAATTTCCCTTTAAAACCTGTTTTCCATCTCCATAAATTCACATCATCCTCCTCTGGTTTCCTCTTCAATCTTATTTCTTCGATTTCAGCTTCAACCTTATTGAGATTTTCCACACGGCGCCGTCTTCCTTTGTGAGTACTAAGGACTTCCTCTACCGTGGCTGCCTTTGAGATTCCAAGATCAATACAACCCCGATCACCAAAGTTGTCAAATAACTTTCCCATAGAAGACCATGTATCATACCAAAACGATGTCCCTCTACCACTTTTAATTTCAACCCGATGGAAATTCTTGGCCAAGTCCCGGAGCTTTAGAATTTTCCTCCACATCCAAGATCCTTGTGATGAGTTTGCATTCACTGTCCAAAAAGATTTTTTCCGAATTAGGTATGTATGAACCCACTTACTCCACATTGACGTTGGAGCAGCAAGTAGTCTCCAGATTAGCTTCAGCCCACATACTTTATTTGTTTCCTTGAGTGGTCGCAGACCCAAGCCGCCTTCACTGCGAGGTAAACAAACAGTTTCCCAAGATGTTTTAGCTTTGTGAGTATTTAAATCTGGTCCGCTCCAAAGGAAAGCAGCACACAACTGTTGGATCTCCTTCATACACGCTCCTGGTAAGCAAAAAGTTGCTGACCAAAAGTTTGTGATGCTCAGTAAAACCGATCGTATTAACTGCAGCCTTCCCGCGTAGGAGAGAAATCGACTCGTCCAAGAACTTATTCTGGCTCGTACTTTTTTTGTCAAGGGGAGGTAGTCTTGAGCTGACATTGCCTTGGTCATTAGAGGTAGGCCTAAGTAGCGTACCGGCAAATGACCTGTTGCAAATGGAAAGCTCTGTTGGATTTCTGCTTGTGTTTCCGGAGCTATTCCTGCCATGTACAAGGTAGACTTCTCGATACTAATTTTCAGTCCAGAACATTTTGCAAAGTCATCAAAAACAGACATGATTCCTTCTATAGATCTCTTTGTCCCTTCAGCAAAAACCATTAAATCATCTGCAAAACATAAATGTGTGAGTAGTACGTTATGGCACCTTGGGTGGTAACCAAACTTACCCTCTACCGCAGCCTTGTTAATACGTTGAGATAAGACATTCATACAGATCACAAATAGGTATGGTGATAAAGCACATCCCTGTCTTAGTCCTCTCTTACTGCCAAAAAAACCAGCGAGCTCACCATTGACTTGTACGGAGAATGTGGCCGTTGAAATGCATAATTGATTCCAATGTATGAATTTTCCCGGGAAGTGCATGGCCTTAAGTGTCTCCAACAGAAAAGACCATTGCACCGAATCAAAAGCTTTGGAGATGTCAATCTTCATGGCACAACGAGGAGAAACGTCATCCTTATGATAGTCCTTTACGATCTCTGAAGCTAACAACACATTTTCCATTAAGAGCCGGTTCTTGATAAACGCTGTTTGATTTGGCGAGATAATCTCCGGTAGTAAAGACTTTAGTCGATTAGCCAATATCTTGGATATGACCTTGTAGAGAACATTGCAACAAGATATTGGTCTATAGTCTTTCATTACCTTGGCATCTTCTTTTTTCGGAATCAGAGCAAGAATAGTGGTATTTACTCCTTTAGGGAGGAAACCTTTAATGAAGAACGACTGAATCGCAGTTGTGAAATCGTCACCGACAACTGACCATGCTGATTTGAAAAATTCACAAGTAAAGCCATCCGGTCCCGGGGCTTTGTTTGCAGGCATCGCAAAGAGCACCTGCCGTATTTCCTCTGCTGTAACCTCTTTTTCAAGTATACATTGATGAGCATTTTTACATTTGAAAGGTATTAATTCTTCAAGGATATCAACAGTTAATCCTTCGAACTCTGTAGGTACATGGCCTAAGAATTCCGAGAAAAACCGCTCTGCTTCTTGCTTTATTTCCTCTTGGCTAGAGACTGTTGATCCGTCCGGGAGTTGTATCTCTCTGATGGAATTTTTTGACTCTCTCAACTTCACTGCATTATAAAAAACTTTGTTATTCTGGTCGCCAACATCAAGCCAGTGGAGTTTCGATCTTTGCTTTAGAAATTTCTCTTCCAATTCTGCCAGGTGATTCCACTTATAATAGGCCTCTGTTTCTTCCTTTGATGCTATATCCGTAGGTCGTAACAGAGTCTCCTTTTGTTTCTCACACAGATCCTTGAACGCCACTATTACTCTTGTCTGCAAATTCCCCAGTTTTTCTCGACTTAAGTTTCTGAGTTGAGGTTTCAGATTCTTAAGTTTCTTTGAAAAACGAAACATTGCTGAGGTAGAGTGAAACAGGGTAGGTGTGTCTTGCCAATAGGAATGGAGTAGAGGTAGGAATTCGGGCATTGTCGCAATAAAATTTGTAAACTTGAAAGGCTTCCTTTTAGCCACTTTCTCCCTTTGAATCTGAATTCTACTCCGTAGATGATCAGAGCAGCCCCCTGGTTCATATACACAGTACGCTTGTGAATAATGGTTGAGCATAGCACTATTTATCAGTACCCGATCGAGTTTTTTGCAAATCACCCCCTCATCTCGTTTGTTACACCAAGTGAATAATGGACCATGTGAACCAATATCCATTAGTGAACAATGTCTTACCGCCTCTTGAAAATCTCTCATACCTTGTGGAATAGTAGGAGAGTGTTCAAAGTTTGAGTGTTCTTCAATATCCAATATTTCATTAAAATCACCCATCAGCATCCAACGTTTGTTTCTGAACATCTGAGAGTCTTGATGATTTCTCAGATCTTCCCATAAACTTCTCCTTTCCTCAGCCAAATTTTTTGCATAAATGAAAGAGCAGAAGAATTCCTCCTCCTCCCCTTCCATTAACACTGAACACGTGATCAGCTGGTCACTCTTGAAAACTGGAGTTAAACGCACTGTTGATCTCCAGAGAATCCAAATACGACCAAGCCTATTAAACTCGTAGTTAGCCATAAATGACCAACCGTTAAATACTTGAGATACAATACGATTTGCCTTCTTTTCCTTGACTCTCGTCTCTAATAAGCAACCAAATTGCACCTCACTATTGTTTGTCCAATGATGGACCACGGAATGTTTAGTAGTTTTATTAAATCCGCACATTCCATGAAAAACTCGACATTTAGAGGGCTTTTCGGTTGGACCTCCTTCCCGTAACCACTGGAACAACGTCCTTAGTTACCTGGTTTGAGGTCTCCGAAATAGTCTTCATCTTCTTTGAGGTGTTACGCGTGACAGGTGGTTTCCCCCCTACTATTTCCTCATCATTTTCCTTTGTCTCATGAGATTCACTATGAGATGTAGCTTGTCCATCTTCTACCTTAGTACCATCCTCATCATCATCATCATCATTCTTTTCCTATGTTGCTTGAAGTTCACCCTCCTCCTCCTCTTCAGTACAGAGGACAGAAAATTTTGATGCTGAAACAAGAATGGGCGTCTCTGTTACTGCTTTACTCGGGCTGCGACTTGTTTTTGAAGGAGATACCTGTGACCACTCTCCTACATCATCCTTCTTTTCTGAACTTGTCTGGTCAGTCTCCTGTGCCTTTTCACTTACTTTGTCTGAAGTGGTAACTATTTCCAGCGTACTAGTCTGTACCACTGCATCTTTAGTACCTTTAGATTTCTCCACCCACTTCATTTCAGAACCTACGGCTGAATGTTTTTTATTGGCAACACATCTTGAATCAAGATGTCCCCATTTTTCACAGATAGAACACCTCGGAGGCAACCAAGGATAGACAAAATCCACCCAAAATTCCTTACCATTCTTTGTGAATTTTATCTTTTTTGGCAATTCTTTGGACAAATCAACGTTGACAAAAACTTTTGCAACATCAAAACTTGAGCACGCAGCTGTTTCTGGGTGTAGACGCACCGGATGACCTGCTGCGCTTGTAATGAAACTCAGTCCCTCCCAAGAATACATATTCATCGGAACATTTTTTAGAAAAACCCATAGTGGAACAGATTTCTCCTCCTGTTGCTCCTTCTCCGCATTAGGAGTCCACTTAGTGACCACCATTGGTACCTCAGCAATATTCCACATTCCTCTTTTGAGAACCCTGGCACGAATCAAAGGATTGCTAACCCGGAATCTCAAAGTTGTGGAATTGACTTCGTAGACATTAATTTTTTGCGCATCGAACCCCTGTTTCCAAATTTTGTTAACGATGACATGAACCTTAGCCACATGTGGTGCCGTATCTAGGAACTTCCCTATAAGAAAATCCTCCCAGAGCGGTGTAACGTTTTCAAAAATCTCATCCGGAATCTCCACAGAACTTTGCCCCTCCGAAGTGGAAATGTTTAGATCGTATTTTTTGAGAGTTTGCTTGTTTTGAACCACCGAAACCCATGAACCCACCTCCTGTGTGCCAGAGAGATCCGTAGATCCTTCCGTCGTACTCATCTCTGCCCTCCGGAGCTGCCTGGCGGCGCCGGTGAGCTACCTTAGTTGACACGAAATCACAAACCCTAATCGCCTATTTTTTCGCCTCCTTACCAAAACGCAGCCTTTCCTTTTTGGTTTTTTTTTGTTTTGCTCAACCTCAAAAATATATAATTTCAAATGCCATTGCAAAGCCAACTCCAAACCCAACTGAGTTTGGCTTCAAGATCTCTTTACGAAGAAAAAGGAAATCTTATAAAATGGATGGTAGTCTTTAATCTTGTTTTTTTTTGTCCCACTCTATTACAACTATTAGAGCGTTTTAACAAGGGCCCTTAAAAGAAACTCTAAAAAACGAGCTTTGAAACTAATGAGTTAGGGAGAGTCCAAGATTCAAGAATCTAAAATCAAAACAACTTGTAAATTGGCTTCATATCAGTAGGATTGTACAACCCAAAGTTCTGTTCAGTTCCAGCCGGTTTCTGATTCTCGTTAAAAGTCGCAAACAAAAACCCTTCAATGCTACAGTTTGGCCTCTTTGGTGTCCCTACACCGCTTTCAACATGTTTGATAAAATTTCCATTGTACGTAGCCGCAATGTCTGGTGTTGTTAAGTATCCATTACCGGCCGAAGGCCATCCAGTCTCTGTCACAACCATGGATAAATCCATCACGTTCTCTTTCTCCATTGCCCACACGAAAGCGTCGAAAATCGCATCAAATATGTTTGAATACTGCATTGTCCCATCCTCAACCACGACATCTTTGGTGTTGAAGATGGCATAATCGAGACTTATGTTGACGGGATTGGACGAGTAAGCAAAGTATGGGTAGATGTTGACGAGGATTGGCGTATTCGTTTGAGACAAGAATGTCAGCACAGGAACGAGTTGTTCACGCGCTTGAGGCGTGAACATTCCTGCGGAAGGTGGATACGACTGTCCGAGGTTCGACATAGCCACCACGGTGCTGATCAAGATCGGAAGACACCTTGACTTGACAAGGTTGGTAAGAGACTGCATGACGGGAAGCACTTGTGGACCGATTGGTCCAGGGATGACTTCGTTACCAACGGTAATGGAGGTGATGTTGACGTCGGATAAGTAAGGCTCGATGTTAGTCGCAAACCAGTCCTCAACAGCTACTTCGCTGGCCGCAAGAGCAGCCAAGTCTTGGTCCTTGACGCCTACGATGACACTAATATTACGGTTTCCGCGTAAGGCGTTAAGAACCTCTGTGTTCGGGTCGAAGATTCGGATTTTGGTAACGCCTATGGACTCGTAAAGGCTGATAACATCGTATGGAGACGGGAGGTTGTCTCCGAGGAGGCCGTAGTTTAAGCCGACGTTTGTTGCTGCCACGTTTATGGAAACGTCATTGGTGTAGTTGAACAGAATTGCCGACAGCAAGAAGAAGATAAATATTCTAGGACACTCCATCACGAAACTTGTTTCTGCAAAATCAGTAGAGGTAGAGATTATATTATTTTCTTCAATTTCAAACATATACAATTTCTTTAACCAATCAAACATTTAAAATATTCGTATGGATGTAAGCATACAGAGACATCAAAGGATATTACTTGTATGATGAACTAACGGAGACGAAGGAACCAAACTTGTTTATTCTTGTGTATTTCGTTGCAAAACATAGGTTCTAGGTTTATATATAGATATATAGTTGACAAAAAATATTCCACTTTTTTTTATTAATATCTCTATGTAAAATTGTAAAATTACCAATTAGAGTTTCCGTTCTTGTCTGTCTAGATGCAGTGATTTTCTATAAGTAAACTAGAAATCTAATGTAGTTGACAAAAACTCAACTGAAAAATCTATCTATGGCATATGGGCGAATAAGGAGTATGCAGCTAAAATCTAACATGCATGCTTCTCTTACTCTTATATATATATATATATATATATATATATATTTTGGTTCAAAGTTCAAACAAGAGCATCTCCATTGGTATCCCACCAATTTAACATTAATATTTTCGTTAAAGTTTTTTTTGAGAAGTCTATTTTAAATTGCATATTCTATCTTCATTAATTGGATACCCATTTGGATATCTTATCAATTAAATATTAATATTTTTAATATTAATTAAATTAAAGTTTTCTTTTAAATTTCCATTAATATTTTTATAAACATATGAAATTATATCTTAAATATATCCATAATCTAAGTTTTGAAAGAAAAAAAAAACACTAGAAATATTATGGATGACAATAATAATAAAGACATGAAGTTTATATATAAGGAAAGAAAGTAATAAGTATACATGAATTTATAAAATATCAAAATGTAGTAAAGGTATATATATATCTATATATATATCTATATATGTCAAAATATAATTTTTAATTCTTAAATCTCATTTTTTTAAATATTGTAATATTTTATTATTAAAAAACCAATGCTAATTTAATATTGCATTAACATAAAGTAATATCAGTGAAAAATAATAGTAATATTTAATTGAAACTTATACATAATGGAGCTTTGTATGTAGATAAATTTCTTTTATTATTTGTAAAATAAAATAAAAGTAATGATATATAAACTATCTAATTAATATTTTAAATAAAAAAATTTGATTTATCAGAAACATGTTAGCCACTAAAAAAAAAAAAGACATTTGTATGAGAGAAATGGTTTTAATGTAGATACATGGCGTTCTCAAATGAAAACCGGTTCTAAAAAATTTGTCTTAACAAAGTATTTATTTATTTATTTTTGATTAAATTTTAATGAGAATCTCTTAACTAGAGACTCCAAATGGAAAAGCTCTAAGGGTGAAAAAAAATAACACATCTTTGATTTTCTATGTGTATCATGTATTCATATCCAAATTCATGAGCTCTAATAAAAAAGAATGTCAACATTTATGTGGATATATATAATTAAGAAATATTATGTTTTAATTAGATTTAAATTATTATTTTTGTACAAAGTAACAAGAATAGAAAACAAAATGCAAAAAAATAAATAATCATGTTCATGAATAATTTGTCATGAATTTATCACATGATATTGTATTATTGGCTCTAGATCTATTCTTATGTCAATTAAGAGTTTAAGACCAACGTTTTAAATGCAAAAATAGAGTTTTGATTGATTGATCTTTGTTTTGACAAATCGTTTGTTCAGGGAAACTTTACATGAGTACACAATGAAGCAACATCTAGTGATTAAGAAAGTCTTAAAAGCAATGGCTAGATCTTTGGAATTGGAAGAGAATTGCTTTCTAGACATGTATGGAGAAAATGCTATGATGGATACAAGATTCAACATGTATCCTCCATGTCCGAGGCCGGACAAGGTTATCGGTGTTAAACCGCATGCTGATAAGTCGGCTTTCACTCTTCTCTTGCCCGACAAAAATGTCGAAGGGCTTCAGTTTCTCAAAGATGGGAAGTGGTATAAAGCTCCAATTGTCTCTGCAGATACAATTCTGATCAATGTTGGAGATCAGATGGAGGTAATCATTACGCTTATGATTTTGAAAAATTTGATATGTGTAGATGTGACATAAGTAATCTCTATTTCTCGTGTGTTTTAAGATAATGAGCAATGGGATATACAAGAGCCTGGTTCATAGAGTGGTGACTAACAGAGAAAAAGAAAGGATATCTGTTGCAACTTTTTCATTCCAGGTGCAGACAAAGAGATTCAGCCTGTGAATGGGCTTGTGTCCGAGGCACGACCAAGATTGTATAAGCCTGTTAAGAACTATGTGAAGCTCTTAAACAATTACTATCTACAGGGTTTAAGACCAATCGCAGCGTCGTTGATCTGATCACACTTTTCAAGTCATGAATCTGTTTCTTTCATGACTTGATCCTTTATAAGAATAAAACTGTTCCTTTGTTTGTTGGAATGTGAGACTGCATTGTGTTATTTGTGTTACAATCCTGAGACAAGAAAGAGGGTCTAAAATATATGTTCCCACTTATCAGTTACTGTTGAAACACATGAAGCCAAAACATACGAAGTTACTTAACTTCCAAATCCAGCTCTAACCACGAAAACAGAGTTTAACACTAAAACTTTCAAGTTCTTTAAATCTATAAATAAAAAAGTTTCATATTTCGTTATTGACTTCTTTAAAAGAGAAGAGATAAATCTTTACCTCTTACTCTGTTTCTTCATTCTCGAAATATTTCAACAATGACTTCGTTACCAACGATAATGGACGTGATGTTGACGTCGGCTAAGTAAGGCTCGATATTGGTCGCTATCCAGTTCTTAGCAGCATCATAGCTGGCCAGAGCATCCAAATCTTGTTTCTTGACGCCTACGGTGACACTAATATTAGGGATGCCACGTAAGGCGTTAAGAACCTCTGTGTTCGGGTCCAAGATTCGGATTTTTGTAACACCTATGGACTTGTAGAAGCTGATATCATTGGACGGAGATGGGACGTTAGTTGTTTCCGAGGATGCCATAGTTTAAGACGACGTTTTTTTCTACCACGATTATGGAACCGTCTTTCTTGTAGTAGTTGTTGAGCAGAATTGCCGAACACGTGAGCAGAAAGAAGACAAGTATTTAAGGACAGTCCATGATGAAACTCGAGTTCTACAAAATCAGTAGAGTCAGAGATAATGTTAGATTCTTTTATTTCGAACACATACAATTTTCGTATGTATATTTATGTATATAGAGACATCACATGATCTTACTTGTGTGGGAGACAAAGGAACCAAGTTTGTTGAAATATTTCACAAAGGCTTGCTTTCTTTTCTCATTGAAACAAGTATATTTATACATTAAAGAGTATTTCCTATTTTTGATAGGATTTCCTCTTCCTTGATGAGATCAAATCTATACTTCACATTAAAAAAAAAAAAAAAAAACTATACATTAAATTACTACAAATAATAACAAAAATGCAAAGAATAAAAAATTTAATCAAGTCCTAAATTTTATATATTTTCTAACAATTTGTCATGAGTTTATCACATGATATTATATTTTCCTCTAAATCTGCAAAGAAAGCATGTTGATTAGGACCAACCAAAGGTTGAATTTATCATTAAGACCAAAGTTTGAAGTCTCAGATGCAGCTGAGTTAAATCATATGACGAACGTTTTACACATCAGATACAATGACATCAAATTCTTTATCGGTGTCCATGTCTTAAATTAAGAAATATAGAAGTCGTATTCGTGTACGACACATAAACACATTGATTGGTACATGCGAAACAAATATAGTGGTAGGTTCAAACATTATAAACAGTAAGGATTGTACAACTTGTAGATGGGCTTCATATATGCCCAATTAATACTTTTTTTTTTTTTTTTTCGTTACATAACATGTCATATTTTGAGATAAATTTCCTGTTTTATTAATCTCAAAACCGTAAATTTGCATAATTGTTTGTTTGTTTAGAAAGATCTTCTAGACCCTTCTATAGTTTCTTCTCGTGGCATTATTTATTAGTTTTCTATTTACAAATGTGATTTTACCAAATAATATTTCCATTTTTGTCAGTCTATATACTTTTCCACAAGTAAATTGAAAATCCAAGTCCAAAATTTAACATTTTCACGAACCGTCATGAATATATCACATGATATTATATTTTGCTCTAAGATTGCGAAGAGACATGTCCATTAGGGCCAAAAGTTGAATTTATAATTAAGACCAAAGTTTGAAGTCTCAGCTGATGAGTTTATTAACGTTGTAAACATCAGATAACTATAATGACATCAAGTTCTATACTTAGTATCGGTGTGCATGTCTTAAAGAAATATAGCAGTCGAATTCTTCTACGAGACTACGACACATAGAAACATTGATTGGTACTAAAAAAATTGAAGAAAATTTTAAAAGAACCAAGGATACACATATGGAGCAAAGAAGACAACATTATATATTTTCCAAGCTTTTGCAATCTTTTTTAAGGAAGAGCATAAGAAACCTCCTTAAAAAATATTCCACAATTGATATTTTGAGATTTTTGGGAGGCACAATGAGTACCTGTGGAAGAAATTTACTTGAGCTGGAAAAAAAAAACTGTATACCGAGAGAATGAGGAAAGAAACAAAGCCCTTAGATGCATCGGACCAGATTTACGATGATGATCACAATTCACAAGTATTGTTCATGTATCCTTGCTCTGTTCTCTTCCCACCATAATCTCGCGTGCATCTCCCCGAATCTCTCTCGGCTGTGCAATGCAAAAGAAAACACAGTTTGAGTGATATATATTTCAGAACCGATGGATAAACCCGAGTTTTGAAACAATGTAAGGAAGTTTAACGGTACCTGAATCTGACTCTTCTAAGCTCTCTTTTCCCACCTGGTAAAACTTTAATGGTGATATAAACGCCAGGCTCATCTTGCTCCACCCATTCGTTGTCAACATCACTCGCATTGCTCACCGACATTTCCTCTGACCTGTCTGCATCTCTTGACGAGCTGCTTCTTATGGAAGCATCTATGGAAGAAGTTTCTGTCTTGGCTACACTGATGCTTGAAACTTTAGGAGTTGAGTTGAGAAGACCAGAGTCATAAAACTGCTGGCTTTGCATTGAATTATGGTCGAGTGAATCCGAGGATGAGTAAGCCGCCAATCCAGCTGGACGATGGATATTACGAGGCAACCGTTCTTTGTTTAGAGGCGGTGTTGCAGGAGTGTCCTCTAGATGGTACTCCACTTTTGCTTTCTAATCAAAGATTTTCAGAGGAATTAGTGACTAATATCACAGGTTTAGTTGTCAACCCGATTTAGTGAAAAAAGCTAACCTCGTCTTCCGATCTAGGGGGCGTAGGGAGCGGGAAAGCTTGTCGGCTTAGTTTTTGAACATTGTAAAGTTCCATTACTTTGTCATAGTTATCTGCCCACCATCGTTGAGCTTGTAACTTGTTGAACATGTCTCGGCTAATCAAAGACAAATAAAAAATCCAAAACAAAAGTTAAGACACAGATACATTTTGGAAACATGCTAATTTTCTTCAAAATGCTACTAGGAAAAGGCCATGATCAAATTACAGCAGTCCAAGAGCAGGAGATGAAAGATTGAAAAGCCTAACTTAAGAGGTGATTTTAGTAAATGTCATAGCAAGAGTAAATTGTCAGACTAATCCTGGTAATTATTGTTATCAGCTAAAAATTAGCAGTGACCAAAAGTATAATGTATGTTTAATTGTAACTCCATCCCATTTCCGGACTAACACAACTTGGCTCACATTGATTTTCTGACACATGAGATTCTAAGGTAATTGTAATGGTTACATAAAATATTAGTCAAGAGTGACTTTAACCAGAACCAGAGGACCAAAGTGGGCATTAACGAAGGCGGATTAAAGGGAGATTAGACAAAATAAAAATAGCTAATTCAATAGAACCTTTTGACAAATTGAACACATATAGGCTAAGAAAGAGAGTTGAAAACAGGAGACACAAATACAACCTTTTGAAACTTGGAAATAGTTTTTTTTTTTTTGTTAGGGTCTAACTTGATGGTAGGCTGCTGATAGCAATAAATAATCAATCAAAAAATTTCGTAGAAATAAAGAAAAAAGACATGGACGAAGAAATAGCGACAGCAATGGTCAAAGCTTATAATTAAGAAATATGATTGTGGCCTACACAGTAAAAGAAAATAATGGTGGAGGTGGGTAGAAGAGAATTTCTCCAAGCAAACTCAATTTTCAATTTAATTTATTTTTGTGTACCAATATCGAAACAAAACAAAACAATAAACACATGTAACAGAGGACTCAATCTAACCACACATTATTACGCCCTCAGGAACTAAACTGATCGAAAAGAAAACCCATAGAGAGCAAAAAGAAAGAGAAGGTTTTGACAAAACAGACAGTGAGTGCTAGAACTAGAAGTGTGAATAATATGAAAAAAGACAAAGAATCGAACTAAGGAAGAGACGAAATACGTTGAAGTTGTCTTGTCGTTATCAATAGGCGACATAGGAGGAGTGAACAAAACTGTGCTAAAGAGGCTAAAGCTATTTGCTTTGTTTATTTATAATATATCTTCTTGTCTTTTAGAGTAATATATAGTACTACTTTTTTTGTCTTTTGGAATAATAAGAAGAACCATATTTTTCTATGCTCCAACAACAGCAATAATGTCATTAGAGGACAAAGACGCGGAGAATAAGGAATCAATAAAACAAAATTCTTTATTTATTAGAAAAACGTTAAAAAGTATTGGTGAAAAATTATTATAAGATTAACATGTACCAAACAATGATTTGGAATGTTTGATTAAACAAAAAATAAAGAAAGAAACATTTGTAACATCTATACAGAATTAAGTTAGAAGCAAACTTATCGACGAATGATGTTTTATACCATGTAATATTACTGATAATTCATATGTTTAAGAACAATTTTGAAGAAAACAAACAGAGGAGAAAAAATGATTATCAGTCAAATAAGTTTATATTGAAAAAAGCAAAAACAAAAGACAGAATGAGAAGAGATGACCCAAGAAAGCACTTAAAAAAGGAGACACCCAATTTTGCTTTTTGGACCTTTACGGCCTTTGCTTCTCATTAGGCGTGAAGCGTTACTGTCGACAACTCTGGCCCCATTCTCTATTTTTTACCTACTTTTTCTCATTTTCACACTCAGAAATTACCCTTCTTCTAGTTTATTTGTTGGGTTAATAATTTTTTATTTATTTTTATTTTAACCTCAGCTAATGCATTTTACTCGATTTAATTTATCAGTTTAGAAATAAACCAAAATTGATGAAAAAAAAAAGAAATAAACCAAAATTATTTGATGACTTTTTTACTCGATTTTAATTCTAAGTATTTTGTTTTATTTTCCCTACATAAACATATCATCCAAATGAATTAGTTTAGGGTGATTTAGGTGAATAACCAAAAAAAAAGAAAAATTAGTTTTTTAGAAAGAAGGTAGAGAGAGATAGAAAGAGAAAGAGAGTGAATAGAGGGGTTAGAGGTTAGATATTTAATTTTGTTTTTTTTTTTAGATTATCTAGTATAATTTCTCTAAAAACATACATGAAACAAGATCAAACTTGGGCCCTGTTATTTTATCTCCTATAGAAATTTGCAATATTCAATTTGTAAATTCGAGATACTATATTATTTTAAAAATATTAGTAGTAGATTTTCGACAAAATCACGACCAAAACAAAACGTGCTTAAAAAAAAAAACGAGCCAACGACGAAGCCAAACTAAAACTCACCGTAC